CACGTTTTTGAAATCAATTCATTTGTTTCACTCTTCACCTTTCGTCATTTCCCATAAATAATCAACGACTTTCCATTTCCACTCTTCTTTTCCATTTTCAAAATTAATTTTAACAAACTTCGAGGGAGAATGATGATAACTAAATTAACTGAATTATGTTGGTGTATGCTTTCAATGTAAGATCGAGTTGACGATGTAAGGCATTATTTCAATTCGTAAACAGTGGATAAATAAGGAGTTAATCCATAGTTAACCCCCTCGAGCCAGAAGTTGGAGTTGTTTCTATTTTCTAAAAAAAACGTAATTTCAACCAGGGGCAGGGTAGATTTCAGTTAATTCAATGATGCATTCAAATCCCAGGAGAATCAGACCATCTAAGCAAAGGTTCAAGAATATCTCCTTCCTCGATACATCATTGAGGAAATGATCTAAGCAAAGGTTCGAGCACTTCATCTTGCTCGTACACATCAACAAAGATAGAGGAAGCAATCAATAAATACAAACTCCACAATGACTTCTTCCTCAGTACATCATTCAAGATCGAGGAAACAATGAAGACAAAGCTTACAATAATTAGCATGACAGTCACAAGTGTTCAGAATAAATAAAAAAAGAAATTCGAAAAATAAATAAAGCCCGCTAAGTCAAGTAAAAAAAACACTTGACTTAGGCAAAAGTTAGGGCATCCCGATAGACCAAAAAATTCAAAAGAATTGGTCCATGCAAAATAACATATTAAAACCAAATAAATTGGATAACAGTCTTATGACTACTACCTCAAGAATAATCAAGGCTTCTCATCAACGCTTGGATCTCATCAGTGCTGGGATCTTATCAATAATTTCATCGGTGCTTGGTCTTTATCTACGCTTATCATCATTTGTGCGACTACAAAATTTCTATTGGGGATTAAAATGCATATGTTGCACTAATTGAAATTAAGACTGGAGAACATCAAGGAGAATGGGGTGGGATAAACAAATTTTGAGCCTTATATCCTTTGTTTTTTAAACCGTGAACCAGGCCACGTTACAACCTTCAAAAAGTCCTAATTGAAGCTAGGTTCATTATGAAAGCATACTCAATAAAATTTGTGTTAAACTGACTCCTAATGTTTTTTAAATTATTACTAACCACTTTGCTTCTTTGAATCTCCATCTCCAATCATCCATTTCTATTCAAACTTCGATTTCAAGAACTTGCATGTTGTTGTACCCCAAAATATACCCTCTTCATTTCGACTTAAATTTGGATTATATTGCATCATCATATGCATACATATCATTGGTTCTATGGCTATGGGATCAAGTTATTTCAGATGATCAAGAGACATTTATTTCATCGAAGCTCTCAGTATATTTTTTATGCTAATAACCGATCCACAACGGTTCAGCTATTTGGAATTTTACAAGGCTGATCCAGTTCGTAATATTCAGGTGTTATTTCTCCAAGATATCCCTGGTGACGTATTCTCAAATTCATGTGTGGCTTGAGAGCTAATTCTTTGAAGAATGTCTCTGAATGTGCGAGTTGTTTCGAAGAAATACAGTGAAAGTGTGCTGAAAGTGCAGTTTTTGTGCACTAGAAAATTCATAACTCAAAGTGTGTGGCTCGTTTTGAACTTATTTTGGTGGCCAAAACTCCGTATCTATGTCTTCTAGATTTCATCTCTCACATCTGTAAGCCAATTCTGCTCAGAAGGTCTCCAAAATTGGGGATTTATCAAGTGCGTTCGCATGGGAAATTTGTGGCAAATGCTTATCTGCATCCCATTCAAAAAATCACAACTCGGTCGATTTTTGTCGTATCAAGCCCGTTCCAGTGGCATTGTCTCACTAATTGAGTTAACTGAATTTTGGTTTCTATTTTCAAGAGCAAACATGAAACAATCGGCTGAACAATCAACTGATAATGAAATCAATGAAGTCGCCATCGAACGTTTTTTATCTAACGAGAAGGGAAATGCAAATATCGAGTAAACTTGAGAAGGGTGAAATCAAGGTCGAACAACCAAGAGATATGGGTAAGGGAGTTTGTTACGCGAGGGGAAGGTATTAGAACCCCACACGCCTATAGTACTCTACGGTACCCACTCTTGTTGTTCTAATCAAAGGGTGTGTAAGAGGTTACATCTAAACTGTACAGGGAATGCATGCAAAAGAAAAGAGAAAATAATGTAGGTAAAATAAAAGTTATGCTTGTTCGGGCCCTACCCCAATGCCTACGTATCCCTTTTAAGGAATCAGAGCAGCTGTAGTTCGGCTTCAAAAGTTTTTGTTGGTTTGTATTTTTTTAATGAACAATATTAATTTCACCTTCTACCGCAACTCGGCCGTTGGAGATTTACGCGTCAGCACAAAAGTGAATTAACATGTTCTTTTGAAAAAGTTTGAAATAAAATCCCAAAGGCACAAAAGAGTTTGCATTGATTGGTATTTTTTACCTTAAAGAAGGATTTGAAAGTTGTTAGATGTTTTATGCTTTTTTCAAGAAAAAGAGTTTTACTTTTAATGCAAAGATGCAAAAGAAAGAAAAACATCTAAGGGAGACTAACCTAGATCTATCCCTAATGTTATCATATAATGATTGATCCTATGGTTGAGTTTTGAAGGGAAATCTCTACCCTATGTTGACATGCTTGGATAACAATCCTAATGTCTATCTCAAATCATCATCTATAGATGAATCAAGAAGTCCTAAAGGAGCATAGCAAGGGTTTATCACCTAAAACTATGTCTATCTCAAATCATCATCTATAGATGAATCAAGAGCTCCTAAGGGAACATGTTGAGGGTATATCATGTCAAAACATGCACACAAAGATGAAATCAAGCAAGCAAGCCAATAAGCTCAAGAGAGCACACCTAGAGAGATCCTATCTAGGCTAGCATGCCAAAGAAAGTCTAACAAAAACTATCCTACGGGGAACATGCAATGAAAGCGAATTCGTGATCTCAATTTATAAATTGAGTAACTCATCAACCAACAACCAAAGAAAGCGATAAAATCCTATAGGGAGCATGCACTGAGAGCGAAGTCATGATCTCAATTCCTAAATTGAGTGACTCATCGACCAACAATCAAGGAAACAAACACAAGCACAACATATATAGCAAAAAAAGTGCAGAATGCCCGCTACAGGTCTTTAAACAGTGACTTGGAGCGCACGCTCTTTAAATCCTGCTTCTTACTTCACATGATTTCTAGAAAGCGACAAATTCCCCTACTATACATGATCTCTAGAAAGAGGTAAAATGCTTAAATGAGATAAACAAGGGAAAATACCAAATAGATATCAATCTGTATCAAATCAAAGAAACCTGATGATCTTCGTGCTAGCTTCACCAAGCAAAGAGAAATAATCAGAAAAGTAGATATGAAAAATAAGCACTAAAGCCTCCATGTCAAAATAAATCACATGCATCCAATCATCATGTAATAGTCTTGCACGAGACACAAAACTATACAAGCACAAATAATCCACTAATCGCATGGTGCGAGAAATCTCCATTGAAAGCTTGCACAAATCCACAAAACGCGTTAGCAAATAATAAGGAAATGCAAATATGAAGTATCAATTCATAACTCAAAATCATATCGAATTGAAAAGAAGTAGAGTCCAAACAAGTATCGGGCAATCAAGTATTGAGCCACAAGTAAACTCTCACAATTTGCATCCAGAGCAACATGGAAATACTCACAAAAATAATGGTGCAAAATATGAACAAAAACTAAAGGAAATAGTACCTTTTATTAGTTTTTTTTGTACACAGAAAATTCTATTAAAACTACAGAGTAAATCCTAAAATCTAATATTTTTAATGTTTTTATTATGTATTTTATTAACACAAAAAATGTGGAAAAAAAACTAAGAGTAAAGTGAAAGAAACTAACAAAAATCTAAAGTCAGGGGGGTGAGGAATCTAAAATAGGTGTATAATCTAGTAATCAGACACAGGGCCCAATATGCGAAGGTCCATAGTGATGTTTTTTGTTCACAGAGCTTGTAGGCATGCCAAAAATAGTATTTTTGGGCTCATTAGAGGGATGTACACAGAAAAGATATCAAACCCAGTCATTTTATCCATACACATCTCAAAAGTCCAATTTAATTTATTCTTTCAGACTTTGTTGACTTATTATTAATATTGTAAAAAAAATTAGAAAAACAAATGAGGAAACAATATGTTTAGGTGAGCCTCATATAGGGTTCACAATTGTGACATTTTAACTTCACGAGATCTCAAAGTTCTCCTTCCATGGTGAAGCGCCGCCGTGGAAGCCTATAAGCTGTCGCGATCATTTCTGTTCTTCTTCGATTGAAATTCATGGTGGAAGCTCTCTTCTCATACTTCTCTAATTTTTTTCCTCTCAAACAAAGAAATCGCCGCGACTACTCTTCTGATCATTCTCCTTCGGCTTCGAAGATTTATGTCACAGTTGTACGCTTGCTTCTCATTATCATCTTTCTTTTTCGCCTATATTTCTTTGTCTAAAATCATTCTAATCAACCATCCTTTCTGTTTCTTGACTCCTCCTAAATATAACAGTGAACTCAGAACCCTACGTTGATGATATCAGAACTTCAGGCCATGGAATTTGAGGGTTAACGATCTAGACAATCTACTCTATGCACCTGTATGAATAAAGAAGCAAAAAGACGGAGAATTAGAGAGTTGTTGGCTTACCTGTCGGAGATGCTCCGGCGGCTCTTCAAGATTGTTGGAGAATCATATAAAAACCTTGAGAACTTCGATTCTGATGAAGGTAATAGTAAGCTTTCGTTGTTTTTCTTCTTTTTTAATTTTTCTCTTTTTCTTATCTGATTCAATTTCCTTTGCTCTGCGTTGTCGTTGTTGTTATGTGCGAGATATTCTTGTTGAAGTTGTTGTTGCAATGAGGAGACATTGTGAGGATTATTCAATGGAGTATTGAAGATTGATGAAGATTGAAGAATGTAATTATCGCGATCGAATCTTGAAGCAATCTCAGAATTATCGATGAAGATGCTACGTGTTGTGAAGTTGTACGCAGAAAGAAACGGAATTATCGATGAAGATGCTACGTGTTGTGAATTTGTATGCACGGAGAGATGGTCCACAGGATATGCTCATCCAGTGTATTCGTTCAACTACTCAGATGATATGCAAAATTATCGTCAGAGGTTCATCCGCGCTTGGGGCATTATTAAGAAGAATGATAGTAAGACTTTGGGGCGCAGGAACTCCATCCCTTTGGAACCTTACCTCAAATGGGTGCGAGCTCGAGCCCAAAGTCTTATGATGTCATATGATTCCATCTTACAAGTGATCTTGGAACCTGTTGTTCAAGTGGGCGAGTCCCGTATTATTCTCCATCCTGATATGCCAACAAACTTTAAAGAGTTGCAAAAGTCTTGGATCCAGCTCAAGGAAGAACGGGATACTTTTGAGGCTCAATTATATGCAAGTGAGAAGAAGGTGCTGGAATTAACAAAGCAGCTTCACGAAGAGATGAACCTCAACACCTACCTCAACACCAAGAGGAAGCGCCCATGGGGGACTTAGGAGTTGAGAATTTCCTTTCAATGTTTATCCTTGTGTAATCTTTTGTTTCCTTAAAAACGTACTAATAGAGAGTTTTGTTTCCTGTTTTGTTTAAAAGAGCTTAAATCCAATATGGTCCTTGAAATCATTGCATACATATATCATACATATCATTGCATAAACATGTTTCATAGCAGGTTTCTTATCTTCTTCGATGTTTATTTCAGCAGTAAAGAAATGGCTCTCGAACAAATAGTGAAGGATCTACAAACTCAAAATGCTCAGTTTCAACAAATGATCATGGCCCTGGCCAAGGGGCAGGAGGAACTGAAAGCCCTGATTGTTAAAGAAAAGACCAAGAAGCCAAAGAAGCCAGCTGGTGTGGTGAACTTGGGAAGGAGGTTCAGAGGATCGTTAAGGCAGGTTGTAGAACTAGCATCTTCATCAAAAGAGGAGACAATCAAGAAGGAGAAAAAAGAGAGGAAGACCCCAGTCCAAGGGAATCTGATAATGAGATTGACTATAATGAGGAGCAGTATCCTTCGGCCGATGAAAAATACAAACAGTTGGAGGATCGTCTGAATGCAATGGAAATCCATAAGGTACATGGGCTGGATTTCGAAGAGCTGGGTTTGGTTTATGGGGTTGTTATCCCGCAAAAGTTCAAGGTTCCGGTGTTCGCTAAATATGATGGGGTCTCATGTCCCAAGATGCATCTCCGATCTTATGTCAGAAAGATTCAGCCTCACACTGTAGACAAGGACTTATGGGTGCACATCTTTCAAGACAATCTATTTGGGACTCAACTAGAGTGGTTCTATCAGTTGGAGGGGACCAATATTCATAACTGGGAATACCTGGCTACTTCTTTCTACAATCAGTATCAATATAATGCAGACCTTGCTCCCACTCATACATAACTCCAAAGTATGTCTATGGGGTCGAGCGAGGTTTTTAAAGATTGTGCTCAGAAGTGGAGGGACTTAGCAGGAAGAGTCCAACCCCCCTGTCTGATAGGGAGTTAGTGGATATGTTTTTGGGTACCCTATTTGGTCCGTTTTTCAATCATCTGATTGGAATCTCCTCAGTTGGCTTTACTGAGGTTATTTTGACGGGAGAAAGAGTGGAAGCTAGGATTAGAAGTGGCAAGATTCAGAAGGACGCCTCTTCAAGTGCGGGAAAGAGACCTTTCATGGGGAAAAAAGAGGTTAGTGTTGTTTACAATCACCAAAATCAGGGAAGAATCGAGCACCATCCAACGGTAGGGGCTGTTATGATATCCAAGCCTGCACCTGCTCAACAACGAAATAATCAGCCTAGAGCAGAAAGACCTGTAAGGAAATTCACCCGGATAAATATGACTTTGTCTTAAGTTTTGCCTCACCTACTGAAATCCAATCTGGTTACCTTGAGGGAAGCTCCCAAGAATCCCAACATCGCATCTCCTCGTTACAACCCAAATGCTCGTTGTGCTTACCATTCAGAAAGTCTAGGCCATGTTACAAACTATTGTTGGGCTTTGAAAAACAACGTGTAAGACCTTATTAAGGCAAAGGAGATTTAATTTAACGCTCCTGAGATTCCCAATGTTATAACTGCTCCCATTCCCAAGCACAGTCGTGGTGTTAATGTTGTTGACGATGATATGTTTGTTACTTCTGTTGAGGAACTTTTTATTCCTCTCATGAATGTTAAGTGGAATTTTTTGCAAGCCAGTTTATTTCCGAGCTGTAGTGAAGATTTCCACTTATGTTTATCTCTACCGATTGGTTTCTATTTGTTGAAAGTAGGTGTTCAACGCCTTATGGATGATAAAGAGATTCTATTTGAGAAGACTCCCGTCACAACTGTTTCTTGTAAGGATGCTTCGATTATAACCATTCCCGTCAATCCTCCCAGGGTCTCCACCAAAAGACCCATCAAGATTACATCTGCTCCAAAGTTGGCTCCCCTGATCATCATTATGCCAGGGCCAATCCCATACTCCTCAGACAATGTTGTTCCCTGGAACTATGGGGCCTAAGTCTATTACCATGGCGTCAAGCAAGACCTGTTGGCTGCTGAAGACCAAGTTTTTGGAAATACTGATCCCGACATTGGCAACATTGTTGGGACCAGCAAAATAACAAGAAGTGGAAGAGTGTTCTCCCCTGAGATTTCTCCTCTAAAAGTCGTTACTATCCATGTGATCATTCCTACTGTTGTTCCTGCTGATACTACCACTGCAATTCCTGTGATTACCCCTGTTTCCACCCCTATCACCGAGTCGGCCGAGACTCGTGGCAAAAACATATTTATTGAGCCTGTCCAGACGAAGGCACATTCAGAATTCGTTCCAAAGGCTTCCAAGAAGGAAATGGAAGAAATCTTAAAGATAATTAAAAAGAGAAACTACAATATGGTCGAACAGCTGGGGAAGACCCCTTCTAAGATTTCAATGTTAGCCCTACTATTATGCTCCGAAGCTCATGCAAAAGCTTTGGTGAAATTCCTCAAAACTGCCCATGTGTCGCAAGAAACCTCCGCTGACCAATTTGAAGATTTTGTGGCCAGTTTGACGGCTGATATCGGTTTGGGTTTTTCTGATGTTGATCTGATACCCAGAGGAAGAAAACACAATGATGCGCTACATGTCTCCATCGAATGTAGGGGCACTACTTTGGCCCATGTTCTAGTAGATACTGGTTCATCATTAAATGTGCTACCCAAGAAGGCTCTGGACAGATTAGACTGCGAAGGTTTGACCCTGAAGCCCAGCAACATTGTAGAGAGGTCTATCAATGGTTCGAAAAGAATGGTGCATGGGGAGGTGGACATCCCCATCAAAGTTGGTTCTCAGACCTTTGACTCCACCTTCTACGTGATGGATATTCCACCATCTTATTCTTGTTTGTTGGGACGCCCCTGGATCCATGGGGCTGGAGCTATCACGTCCACTCTGCATCAGATGATGAAGTATTTGGAAAAGGAAAGATTGTCACGGTACATGGTGAAGAGGAATACATGGTAAGTCACCTGAACTCTTTCAAGTATGTGGAAATGGATGGAGAGTTCATCGAGACTCCTTGTCAGAACTTCGAAGAGGTTCCCCATACCATGGCAGTAACTGAGATTGTTACCAATATGCCAAAGATCACCATACCTCCCTTGAAAATGGCTCCTCTCAAGGACACCAAAGCAGTTATTAAAGAAGGGGTTCAAAGGGTTGTTCGTCATGCTCGTGCTGGAGGACCTCCCATATGCATCAACAATCATGGGGTCAACGCTTTAGAAGATACTGATGGTGACTATGACATGGATATTTGGATCTTCCCTACTACCAATGGTGGACCCAGTAACTGGGCGGCTAAAGACTTTTTACTGATTACTTTTATTCAGAAGTAATTGTCTTTGTTGTTTTCGGATATGTAATAATTAAATAATATAAACTCTATGGCCATGTGTCTTACTCGGAGCACAATGGTTTGTTTGTGAGGGTTATCATGTTTCAATATCACATGTCATTAATAAAGCATTGGACGTTTTGCATACAAATTTTGCACTCTCTGTTTTTCTTTTCTGATTTTTACTTTGTCAATACAACTATGCTCTTACACACACTCACGTATCAAACTGCAGATCCATATCCACTTTGGATCCCATTGATAACGGTTATGTTATTGTCGGTTATAACTTTGAAAATCCGATCAACCAAGCCGAGGACGAAGGTGAGGAAGATTGTGAGGTACCCGGAGAACTTGCCAGACTGTTACAGCAGGAAGAAAGGGCTATACAGTCTCATGAAGAGCCAGTTGAGACAGTGAACTTGGGCACAGAAAAAGATACAAAATAAGTCAAGATAGGTGAAAATTTGTAACTTAGTGTCAAACAGCAGTTGATACGGATGTTGCATGATTATGTTGAGATCTTTGCCTGGTCATATGAAGACATGCCAGGACTAGACACGGATATTGTGGTTCATCGTCTGCCAACTAAAGAAAATTGCCCTCCACAAAGCAGAAGGTTCGTCATATGCACCCTGAAATGTCAGAGAAAATCAAAGCAGAGGTTATGAAACAGTTCAACAATGGGTTCTTAGCTATCACCTCTTATCCATAATGGGTTGCTAACATAGTCCCGGTGCCTAAAAAGGACGGCAAGGTACGGATGTGTGTGGACTATAGAGATTTGAATAGGGAAATCCCCAAGGATGACTTCCCGCTTCCCCATATTAACGTTCTGGTTGATAACACCGCACAACATAAGATCTTTTCATTCATGGACGGTTTCTCTGGCTATAATCAGATCAAGATGGCACCCAAAGACATGGAGAAGACAACCTTCATCATGCAATGGGGAACTTTCTATTACAAAGTGATGTCGTTTGGATTGAAGAACACTGGGGCAACCTATCAACGAGCCATGGTAGCTTTGTTCCATGACATGATTCACCATGAGATAGAGGTCTATCTTGATGACATGATAGCCAGGTCTCAAACTGAGGAAAAGCATTTTGATCTCCTGCAAAATCTATTTGATAGGTTGAAGACGTACAAGCTGAGGTTAAATCCGAACAAGTGTACCTTCGGGGTAAGGTCTGGTAAACTCCTGGGTTTCATTTTCAATGACAAGGGTATTCAGATAGACCCTGCAAAGGTGAAGGCTATACAAGAGATGTCGGCTCTTCGGACTAAGAAGGAGGTTAGAGGTTTCTTGGGATGCCTAAATTACATTACCAGGTTCATTTCCCATCTAACTACTACTTGTGAGCAAATCTTCAAACTCTTGAAGAAAGATCAAGTGGTAAAGTGGAATGCTGAATGCCACACTGCCTTTGATAGAATCAAGGAATACCTTTAAGATCCTCCAATTTTGATGCCTCCGATTGAAGGAAGACCTTTGATAATGTACTTAACAGTGTTAGATAATTCAATGGGCTGTGTGTTGGGGCAGCATGACGAGTCTGGTCGAGAAGAGCATGCAATATACTACCTTAGAAAAAAGTTTACCGACTGTGAAACAAGATACTCACTGCTCGAGAAAACTTGCTACACTTTGGCATGGGCTTCTCGCCGAATGAGATAGTATATGTTGACTCACACTAATTTATTGATATCTAAGATGGATCCGATCAAGTACATCTTCGAGAAGCCCTCTCTCTCCGGAAGAATAGCGAGATGGAAATGATCCTGACTGAATACGACATTCAATACATGACCCAGAAATCAATCAAGGGAAGTGTATTAGCTGATCATTTGGCTCATCAGGCTGTGGATGACTACCAATCCATGAACTTTGAATTCCCAGATGATAATATTATGTTAGTGACTGACTGTGAAGAACCTGTACCAGATGAAGGGCTTGAGAAAGGATCCCGATGGACTATGGTTTTTTATGGAGCTTCCAACGCACTCGGCAATGGTATCGGTTCCATAATCACATCTCCCGAGGGATGTCATACTCCTTTCACCTCCAGACTATGTTTCAACTGTACCAAAAATATGGAGGAGTATGAAGCACACATCATGGGTATCAAAGCTGCTATTGACCTGAGGATCAAGTTCTTGAGTGTTTACGGAGATTCAGCCTTGGTAATAAGTAAA